TATGCATACATGCCTACATACATACACACATACATACATACATACATACATACATACATACATACATACATACACACACACAGACATACATACATACATACATACATACATACATACATACATACATGCAAAAGCACCTGCAAAAAAGCATGGACAAATGCACATATGCACACACGAAGTGAGCGGGCTGCCTAACCTCTTGGAGAAATGGGTCAAACACGAAAAAAATGATGCAACAGACAACTGTATCTGTGATCAGCACCAGTAACCAGACCAGTCATTCCAATGCAAAAGCTTAGCCAAACATATGCTTATTCATGTACTCAGAGACTCCCAAACTCCTTCATCGGAACAACTTAAATGATAGGAACGATCCCGGAAAAGTTTAAGGTGTGCTCCTTGGTTACAAGTCATTGAATATGTTTGAAACTCTAAACCCTAAACCGATGACCTTGAGGCCTGGGGCTTTCGGCAGGGTCTACGCGGGATACAAGTCGAAGCTATCCGAATACAGGGACTAAGTTGGTATATGCCTTAGGGGCTGAATACCCTAGCCCAAAAAAGGCTAATCCTTCGATTCATATAAAGGCTAAGGTTTCAGCCGCTAGTAGACCGTATACACGAGCATTCGGGCGAGTGCCGCAGCTTCTAAGATTGACCGCTTAAGGCTAGGGGTTTAGGGCTTAGGGTTTAGGGGTTTAGGGGTTTAGGGGTTTAGGGGTTTAGGGTCTAGGGGTTAGGGTTTAGGGTTTAGGGTTTAGGCTAGGCTATGGGTTGAAAGCTCTCGGTGTCCTAAGCCGCCTGCACTGGGCACCAAACCTGAACCCAGCCATGTAGGGGCCGTAATGATTAGAATGGGGCTTTGGGCGCCAGCTTGACGCGCCCTCAGGAAAAACATTGGTGATTCTAAGATTCTACTTGGTGATTCTTTAGGCTTCTATATGAAGTCATTGCACTCTCCAAGCTGTGAAACTACCTGGGATGCGGGCAGCCACCGAGTGCGTGGCCACCTGGAGCAAACAGCAAGCACGGCTGTAAAGCCTAGTTTCTTTTAAGGGCCACACTATGCGAAACTCTTTCGTAATGCGGTGGCGTTCGTGGTCTCTTTGAGGAGCTTTCGACGGTTCTTGTTTTCAGAAACCTCTAGACAGTTTTGTAACATGCTTCCTCTTCAAGTGACAGCAGCATCCGATCACATTGCGACCGTTCGGTTGACGTGGTCAGTTGCCGTACTGCCCATTACCAAAATCTTGTAGAAAAAGTACGACGATTTAGAGTTTACGGTCTACGGTTAATGCCCTAAACCCGAAACCCTAAACCCTAAACCCCTAAACCCCTAAACCCTAAACCCGGTTAATGGTAGTAAAGTCTGGGGCGCTCAAAATGCCTTGAATTCTTGGGGGATCCTCAAACGGGTTTGCGGGCTATTCCTTGGCTACGGGCTGTTGGAGTCTCTAGTATCTGGGGACTGAGGGAACACAGGTCTCGATTAGGGGCCCCCAGAAAACATAGGCAACAATCGGGATAGGGATATTCCACATAAACCCCCATTTAGGGAAGCCCAATAACGCAGGGAGATGACTGTAAAATGCTTATGCTTATGTCGTTTTGGGGTCCCTATTTGTTGAAGGGCCCTTTCTAGAGGAACTCCTGCTACGGCCTAAACCCTAAACCCTAAACCCCAAACCTTAAACCGTTCTATTTTGGGGGCTTCCTTATTGTAACTATAGTATAGTATACCCCAAAGCCCTGTTGCAATTGATTAAGGCCCTACATTGCAGATAAGGCCCTACGTTGCAGACCTTGAAGGAATTGTAGCCCCAAAATAGCCACAGACCTTTTGAAACGTAAACCATGAACCCTGAACCTTTTGCGGCTTTATGCCCTTAATGACTTCACTCTGCTCACTGCGATCCAAATGGGATTCGTAGGACATTAAAGTACCATGGGTTGGGAACTGCCCCCATACAGTAACAGTCTATAATCGGGTTAGTAACAGTACGGCCAATTGTAAATCTACATTAGAAGCGTTATTCAACTGAAGACGCAACAACGACTACGTTCTCAAGCATATTCCTCATGGAATCGGCTGAGGCGAACTACGAGCAAGACTCCACACAGCAGAGATTCAAGCGTCACTGCGCCACAACACTACCCAGAGCCTGTTCCTCTAAGGTTTGGAAAACGCATACTGCAGGCTTTATCCCACACAGTCATAACACTGCGCCCAATGTAGACTAGATACTCCCTTCGGCAAGGAATACTACTGGGAATTTTTCCGACACCCATAGGAGTGTTGATAACAGTTTTTACATGGGTTGATCTGCACGGTCCTGCAGAAGGCGTGCAACCTCCAAATGCCGGTTCTCAGCTGCAACGAACAAAGGGGTGGCACCATTCTGCATGGCCTTGTCCTTGTCCGCACCAGCCTGCAGCAAAAGCCGCACTATTTCCAACCGTCCATTTTGAGCTGCAATGAACAAAGGGGTGGCACCATCTGTAAAGGCCTTCTCCTTGTCCGCACTGAACTCCAGCAAAAGGCTGGCAACCTCCAAATGCCCCTTCTCAGCAGCCATGTACAAAACGGTGGCGCCATTCTGCTCGGCCTTGTCCTTGTCCGCACCGGCCTGCAGCAAAAGCCGCACTACCTCCAACTGTCCATTCTGAGCTGCAATGAACAAAGGGGTGGCGCGACTCTGCATGGCCTTGTCCTTGTCCGCACCGGCCTGCAGCAAAAGCCGCACTACCTCCAACCGTCCATACTGAGCTGCAATGAACAAAGGGGTGGCACCATCTGTAAAGGCCTTCTCCTTGTCCGCACTGAACTCCAGCAAAAGCCGCGCTACCTCCACCTGTCCTTGCTGAGCTGCAGCGAACAAAGGGGTGGCGCCATTCTGCTCGGCCTTGTCCTTTTCCGCACCGGCCTGCAGCAAAAGCCGCACTACCTCCAACTGTCCATTATGAGCTGCAATGAACACAGGGGTGGCACCATTCTGCTTGGCCTTGTCCTTGTCCGCACCGGCCTGCAGCAAACGCCGCACTACCTCCAACCGTCCATTCTGAGCTGCAATGGACAAAGGGGTTGTCCCATCTGCTAAGGCCTTCTCCTTGTCCGCACTGAACTCCAGCAAAGGCCGCGCTACCTCTACCTGTCCTTGCTGAGCTGCAGCGAACAAAGGGGTGGCGCCATTCTGCCTGGCCTTGTCCTTTTCCGCACCGGCCTGCAGCAAAAGCCGCGCTACCTCCGACTGTCCTGTGTGAGCTGCAATGTACAAAGGGGTGGCGCCATCTGTAAAGGCCTTCTCCTTGTCCGCATTGGCCTCCAGTAAAAGGCGCGTCACCTCGAGGTGGCCTCTCCCGGATGCCACAAATAGCGCGGTCAACGCCGGAAGACGAACACAGGTTAAATCTGGCTCTTGCGGCCTTCGTAGAATACTCTCCACTGCCGCTGTTTGGCCGTGTTTTGTAGCAGTCAGAAGCGCTTGCACGTCATCTTCAGATGCTTGGCAGAAGCTTAGAAATACGACTTGAACTTCCCCGGGTCTCAGCATGTGTTCGTCATCTAGAACCACATAATCATCATCCTCCAGGAACAACAGCTTCTGCCTGAATCTTGAAAGCCCACACATGCTGTGTAAGTGCTGCTTCAGTGCCCGAACTGCAGACATCCCTTCCGGAAGCGTAGCGTGAAAGCTCGCCAAGTCCAGGGCATCGAGTTCTTCACCCGATACTCGGCGAATGTGCAGCATGTCGAGCGCTAAACGAAAAGGACTCGGACCCAAAAGAACAAGCTTCGCCGCATTGCTCGATTCGGTCCAAGAACGTTTGGTGTCTGAGAACAGCTCAGAAAAGACTACAACCGCACTAATTATGCCGATCCCCCATAACCCTAAACCCGAAGTCCTAAATCTTATATATATATATATATGTATATGTATATATATATATATATAGACCCGATACCTTAAACCCAAAGCCTTAAAGCCTAAACCCGGCTTACTCTGGGGTGTTGGGGCTTTGGTCTGATCTTTGGGGCTTTTCGCTCGCGGCTGCGGTAACATACTGGCCTGAACAATGCAAATAGGGTTTTTTAGGGTTTAGGGTTTAGGGTTTAGGGTTTAGGGTTTAGGGTTTAGGGTCCTGTAACGGTACTACGAAGCTTCAGGGTGTAGGGTTTAGGCACCTAGAGGCATACTGTAGGGATTTAGTTTCGGGGGATTGCTAGAAGGATGCCTCATATGGGTTCTTGGGGTCTTGGGGGTTTAGCCCCAACAAATAGTAGTAACTGCCATCTTGCTCCTCCAGCTCAAAGCAGGCAAATGATCCGATAAACAACACCCTGTGCTCAATAATTAGAATAGGGCTTTGGGGGCTCCTTATTATAACTGTAGTATAATAGACCCCCAAACCCTATTCTAATTATTAATTAAGGCCCTTATACCCATGTAATGAAGGCACCTGCATGAATAGGTGGAATAGGGTATAGTGTAAATAGAGTAAGGAATTTTGAAGAATAAGGTTGCTCGCTACTGAGGCTTCTAGATTACTCTCCAAAAGTCAGGTTTAGGGCCTGCGGTTTAAGATTTAAGGATTACCTTAAGAACCCCAAACCTACTTTTTTGTAGGGTCCCTATAAATCCCATATTAGGGTTTGTAATAAGAACCTACAAAAAAGTGGGTTTTGGGTTCTGAAGGTAGGGCTTGGAGTATTGACGTTTGGGGAGTGGGTTGAGGTGTTTGATTTAAGGTGCCTTTTAGCTCCTTTCTCCAGGTTTAGGGCTTTGGGCTCAGGCTTCTGGGCCCCCTGCCAGACAAAATGGTGGTTTCCGAAAAAGGGGACCTATAGTATAGCACCCTAAATAGTAGGATTCTAACATAAGGACCCCTAAATAAGGTACCCCCTATTTTCGGAAACTCCCAAATAGTAGAAGTGTTCCAAACCTAGACTGGACATGGTGGCTACACACAGCTTTGGGTTTCAAAAGTAGGGTACCCCAATAAGTAGAACACTACGTCATAGGGACTCTAAATCTAAACCAGAAGCTACTACTAATATAGAGCCCCACATCGCAGGCACTCTAAACCCTAAACCCTACTTTACGTTTATATCGTTGTAAGGACCCCGAAAAAGGTCCCCCTGAAACCAGCGGCTCGCTCAAGCCATCAAGCCATCAACCCTAGCTATGAGGTAAATGGGTGCAGGGCTAAGGGAGATTGAGTTAGTGTGATTGAGGGTTTAAGCTAAATAGTTCAGGGCCCAGTCGCCGCAAGTCGTTCGAAGGAAGTGATGACACGCTAACACTCAGGATTAAAGACTTCAATGGCAAAGAGGCAAAGAACACATCTTACCACAGGACCTGTTTCCCTGAAGACCCATACTTCAAACAGCGAGAGCCGAACAACCCAAACCCTAAACCCAATAAGCCTACACCCTAACCCTGACAAAGTACAAAGAACCTCCTAGCCGCAAACACCCAAGGATCCGACGTAGCCCCAACACAACCCTCCCCACGTCTGCAACCAAAGCCGCAAGACTCAAAGCTCGCAACCTAGAACCCTCTCCTAAGGAAATCTTGAAAGGACCCTGACAGCAAACGCAAACCCCGAACTCTCTACACGCCTTAAAGCTGACCTATCACCCCCCGGCAAAACTCCTTTAAGACCACTACAGCCCCAAACAAAGTATTGGAGTCGACTATTTTTTCACTGATACTAGGAAACTACAAGGGCATGCTATTCGTCCCCATTTTAGGGTTTAGGGTTTAGGGTTTACGGTATATTACAAGCAAACGCTTGCTGCTCCTTGTGTCCCGGCCTCACCGGGACGTTGGGAACGCGCCACGGAAGTGAAGGGTGCCAAGGAGACCTGGGTTGGGCTTAGGGCTTAGGGCTTAGG